TGCCGCCACCTCTCCTCCCGTTCCATGTGTGCTCGTTGCATTTGGGACAAGTTCTCCCTCCACTGTGTCTGCTGGGCTGCCTGGGCTCGGGAGCAGCCCATAAGTTCGGAGAACATGTCCTCCCGTGTCCTCTTCTTCCTACGCCTCATCTGCGCTAGCCTCTGGGTGTGTGATGCCAGGCTAGGTTGTGATACATTCGCAGCTGTGGGAATGGGAAAAAGGGAGTGAATTCCTCAGAAAGATAAATTTCGTTGTGAACAAAGAACATAGTCTTTCTCTGTGAACAAGACCATGCACAGCACCTATCACATGCGCACTCAGGACAAGGTCGAATTTTCGGCCCTCGCATTCAGTGCCTGTGGTCTTGCAGTGCAGATCAGAGAAGCGGGGCAGGACACCGGAATTTGTGTAGCAGGCCGACATGGTAAGCCGTATACTTGTGGGTGCTTAAAACTTTGATAGTTGCACTGGCCTCCTTTCACATTGAAAGCAATGCCAGTCCCTGCTGCCAGCAATCCGGCAAGCATGAACTCTGCCCCTGTCCCACCCCCTCGCGGCTGTCCCAGGGAAAAATCCCTGTATGCTGCCCCTCTCCCGCCTCCACCGCGTGGCTGTAAACCGCCGGTTACAGTTCTGTAAAGGAACAGGCAAGCAGTCCCAATACTAACATTCCCCTACCTAATTCAAAGCAGATCATCAAGAGCGACATCACTCTGATGAGGATTTCCGAGACGGAAAAAGAAAGGATGCTTCGGGAAAGCCTGCAAAGACCAGGGACGTATGCCGCCATGCTCTGCAGGGCAATGATCCCGGAGTACTTGCTTCTCTCCTGGTGCGGAAATGTTTCCTACTACGGAGGACCCAATAAGGCTGCTCTCCCCAGGAACCTGATGCAAAGGCTTTCCAATTACCTCCAGGAGAGCTTCGTGGAGATGTCAATGGAGGATTTCAGCTCTATCCCCGGACATATAGACCGGATTTTACTGTAGCTGCACTGGCAGGGACTAAACAGTAGAATTGCTTGGGCAGAACAATCATGCTACACTGGACATTGTTAGATTTTTTTAAGTAGTTGCACTGCCAGGGAGTGAACAGTTAAGCGCCTAGGGCAAAGTAATCATGAAAAACCCATTCTTAATATTCCTGTTCTGTTAAAAATAAATGTTTACATGTTTAAAACACTTACTGGCTGATCCTTCCCTTGATTCTGTGTCCGGGTTAACGGCTGGGGACGGTTGGTAGGGGATCTCTGTAAGTGTGATGAAGAGATCCTGGCTGTCGGGGAAAACAGCGTTGTAAGCGCTGTCGACTGCCTCGTCCTCCTCATCTCCTTCCTCATCTTCCCCGTCCGCTACCATGTCCGAGGAACCGGCCGTCTACAATATCCCATCCTCAGAGTCCACGGTCACTAGTGGGGTAGTGGTGGCGGCCGCACCTAGGATGGAATGCAGTGCCTCGTAGAAACGGGATGTCTGGGGCTGGGATCCGGAGCGTCCGTTTGCCTCTTTGGTCTTCTGGTAGCCTTGCCTCAGCTCCTTGATTTTCACGCGGCACTGCGTTGCATCCCGGCTGTATCCTCTCTCTGCCATGACTTTAGAGATCTTCTCATAGATCTTTGCATTCCGTCTTGTGGAGCGCAGCTCGGAAAGCACGGACTCATCGCCCCACACAGCGATCAGATCCAAGACTTCCCGATCAGTCCATGCTGGGGCCCTCTTTCTATTCTGAGATTGCATGGCCATCTCTGCTGGAGAGCTCTGCATCATTGCCAGTGCTGCTGAGCTCGCCACGATGTCCAAACAGGAAATGAGATTCAAACTGCCCAGACAGGAAAAGGAATTCAAATTTTCCCGGGGCTTTTCCTGTGTGGCTGGTCAGAGCATCCGAGCTTGGACTGCTGTCCAGAGCGTCAACAGAGTGGTGCACTGTGGGATAGCTCCCGGAGCTATTACTGTCGATTTCCATCCACACCTAGCCTAATTCGACATGGCCATGTCGAATTTAGCGCTACTCCCCTCGTTGTGGAGGAGTACAGAAGTCGAATTTAAGAGACCTCTATGTTGAACTAAATAGCTTCGTGGTGTGGACGGGTGCAGAGTTAATTCGATGTAACGGCGCTAAATTCGACATAAACTCCTAGTGTAGACCAGGCCTAACTAACATTTGCCAATAGTAACCACAAAATGGCGTCTGAGATACCAGAGTTTTAACCCTACCCTAGTAGAAATACCAGTGCTAACTATGTAGTAACTACTAGCACATGTTGACATTTTAAAAGCAGCTACTGTATACACTACACTACACTACAGTACAGTACAACAGGTTGCTCTTCATTAAATATATATATTACATTACGTTATGCAACAAGACAGTTGCTATGGTCTTTCTACTGTCTCTAAACCCTAATAGCTTAATACAAATACATTTCCCACTGTGACATATGGAAGCCTAACTACAGTGGAAAATACTGTATGTGACATAAAATAAACATTCATTTCCTCTCACTTATTCAATGATTGTAATTTTGGGCCCGATTCTGCAAGGTGCTGAGTTTCCTCACTTCCCCTCCCCAGATCAATGAGAATTGGAAGTGCCCAGTACCTTGCAGGATTGGACCCTTACATTTACTCGGTGCGTATGTCATCACAGCAGAGTTAGCTCCGGCTGTTATGAGTGTTGCCTGTAAACCTCCCTCCTGTCCACACATAAAACCCTCTTTCCCATGTTTAGTGATGCTTTCAGCCTGGGTTTGCTGGCAAGCTTGGGGTGTGGGTTACAGCCAGGGTTCTGTTTTCACTCAGCCTGGTGACCCACCCAGTTTGCAGTGAGGGTGTAGGCTAACTCATTCAAGTGCTGATAGCCCTCCAGTATCTTCCGACATTTTCCCCTGTAGAGTGGCTCTGCACAAAGAACCATGGGATATGCTCCCAGGAGTCTCAGCAATGGATACAGGTGAATGAAGCAACAGTGAGGACACAGTAACTTGAGTATTGTTTTGCAGTATGGCTGCTCTCAGCCAGGCTAGGCTAACCTGAGAGCTGATTACCCAAGTTAATCCTGCAGTGAAGACATACTCCGAGAAGGCATTTTCATTTCATTAGCTCTTTTATGATCATCACTTTTATTACTACATACTGAGAGTAAAAATGAGAGAAAAAGATAGAGGACTGGATCTGACAGAGGAGGGCATAGCTGGGTAAAAAGGGCTACTTCAGCACAGCAGGATGTGCCTATTTATGAATCTACACTTTGCCTCACTCCTACAGGGTGTTGAGTGCCTACTGTGAGGTGCTGTGTGCCCACAGTTCCCAAGGAGGCACTTGATAGTTTCCACAATATGGTCCTAAGTGTCTGCTGCTGATAGGTTGAATAACACTGTTTGAGCAAAAACTATGTGCTTCCCACTCTCCTGTCCCTAAGAAAATAATCTTCCTTTTGTTCTTTTTTTGCTAAGATGATTCCAATCATCCAGGAAATGCTAACTACCCCCAAACTATACACCCCCCCTCACATGTCTCACAGTTTTATAAATGGAGGAGGGGGGTAGCCTTTTTGGGGAATGGAACAAGCAGTGTTCTAAACCAAGAGAGGTACAGAAATGAGATCTGTTTACATAAAACTTTTTATAGTTTACATTTTTTTTAAAATAAGTGTGACTGGAGAGAACCACTGGACTGATTGCAGTTTTTTTGTTTTCTGAATGCAACAAATGCCTGTAGGGAGAAAGTCACCTCCTTTCCTTTTCTCTCTCTCTCTCTCTCTTTATTCAATAAACTTTCCAAAGTACAGAAAATACACATTCATTTCCTGCAAATGAAAGGGGTATTTGCCTCAGCCAAAGAAAGAAACATCAGTCGGTTGCTCATCTAACGAAAAGAACATTAGGAACAGGCATATTAAGAGATCTAAGGCTTATTGTGGTTATGTGAACTGTTGGATATGAATCATATTAAAACTGCCTGGGCCCTTAATGAAGAGATCCATATCGTGCCAGTGACAGAAACCATGGAATATTTTAAAAATGCATGGGACCTTTTTTAAATAGACTTGTGCTCGCAGTTTGAAGACAAAATTGATTTAATTCCTTATAGCCACCATCTGTAGTATCATATACCTTCTGGTCAGGTTAAAACTCATACATTTCAAATCTAGCCAGATTATTTTTTTTCCTCATGCCCTTCAAATGGGATCTAGATGCAGTTGCTGAGACTAAAGCATTGGTTAAACAACCTAGCTGTTCTGCTTGGAAATGTGCTTAAAACAATCATTTATTCTAAGGTGAAAGAAAACAAGGTTTTATGATATAAATTATGTAGCTGAAATACACTCCAGCTAGCTCTTTAGAGCCTGATCCTGTACTCTTAATGCAGGTAAACTCCCACTGAAATAATTGTGAGTAAAAGTTGAACAAAATATGACATGTGTTTAGGAAAGGACTGCAGAACCAGTCTCAATGACCTCAGTGGGTGTTTTGCCTGAGTAAAAACTGCAGGATTTATCCATAAGAGGTTTTGGGCTAATCTCACTCCTATTCAAGTCAATGGCAGTACTCTTATTGACTTAAATTGGAGAAGAATTGGACCCTTTGCTCAGACTAGCACAGATGGGACATACCCAACATACATTTCCTCCCATCCCCTTGGTCCGATAATACAGACTCATTAAGCAGAACTTGAAATAAGGCCAAGAAAGCGAAACTTGCTGATAATAACATGCATGCAAAGATGTTAATAATTAGTTAAGAATTCCTACCATAACACACAGGGCAATGTTTTCTCCTTGCTTTAATACAATACAGAATGACTGAGTTTGTAGTTAACTTTATTCAACCCCTGGGACTATAAGCAGGGCATTTTTTTTTTTTTTTTTTTGCAAAAGCAATATGATTTGGTTAAAACTAAAAGGCTCAGTCAACAGGTATTTCCTGAAAATATTTTCCATAAAGAGCTGAATATGGTTCTCCAGAATGAAAACTAATACTTTCTTTTTTAATTTTCCAGCCAAAGGTTTCTATGATCTTGATGCTCTAAATGAGGCTGCCTGGAACAGTGCCCAGAGCCAGTTAGTTCCATGTGATATTTGTGGGCGTACTTTCCTGCCAGACAGACTGATTGTCCACCAGCGGTCCTGTAAACCGAAACCAGCAAAGTAAAGCAAACCGCACCCCCCCGCCCCCCAACACACACCTTCCAGCCAAAGCATTAAAGGAATAAAATCCTGCTTGGAAATAAAAGGCATAGCTCAGGGGCTCTGTAAAATCACAGTGATGTGGAAACATGTTCAGATCATCTCCTAGGTAAAAACAACAGTAGCCACTATAATGTAGGCCAAATACAGTGATTTTTTTAGCACATCATTATAGAAATTGAAGACATCTCTCATAATTTCTGTGCTCTGAGAGATGCAGCACAGAGGTCACAGTTCAGGGGTGCCAGTAAGGTGCCTTTAAGCCATCTTTGTGCCCTCCTGAGCCTGTGCTATTCTGGGGGATTACTGTTCACTCCAGAGCAAAATACCCCAGCAATCAGAAGAGAAGCACCCAAATACATCATCTATAAATAGCAGAGAACTCCCTGTCTCAAATAATGACGAGGGGAGAATATCCTGCAGTACTCAGTGACGGTAGCTGGGCTGTGCCTCCCTGCCCCACTCCCATGTAAATTACTTTTTGGGTTTAATATCCTCAATTTTTAAGCTCTGACTGGAACTATCAAGCTTCCTACCTGTAGCTTGTGGAGAGGAGTCAGATGTAGGGTGAGTCACACGGTTTAGTAGTCCTAGTGGGTGTGTGTGGGGGAGAAGCTAGAGGAGCCAAGTGTAGGCTGAGCATAAAGCTTAACAGAGCACAATAGTCTCCCTTCACAGCAGCACTTCCTTCACTCCCTCTTCCTGAGTTTTCCTGTTTCCTTTGTGGCAGATTGCTCTTTCCCCAGGAATAATCAATAAATCAGCCTGCAGCAGTTCCGGCACCTTGGAGTTGTACAGTTTGCATGGCTCCTAAGGACACGGGTATACTGTGCTGACTTAAGCCCTCTCTCCATTAAAACATAAAAAACACAGAACTTTTTTGTTACCTACCATAGAACCATAATTTTAAATCACACTGTAAGACAAAGCTATTTAGCCTGCTTAAGCTGGCCTAAGTATTTAAGCACCTGGCCCAAAGTACACTTCCACTGTCAATGAGAAAGACATCCATTGACTTCAATGGGATTTGGATCAGACCCTAAAACCACAGGCACCTACTTTCCTCATCCATTGCAACGATGGAGGAGGCATCCATAATCAGGTGACAAAGTGCTGGTAGGTGCAAAGGGGGAGGCTAGTCAGCACTAGCTACCATGGGGTGGGTATGTGGGTGTGGGTGTTTGCCCCATCCTAAACCATACTGGTAAGCACTAGGAGGTCTGTACTAGGGGCTTTATCCTGCTCATTGCAGTCAAAGGTAAAACTCCCATTGACTTCAATGGTTCAGGATCAAAGTTCTAGCACAAGACATGGGGATATGTGTTATATGGGGCAGCACTAGAGATGGTGTTTTATTCCAACATTTCAAAGAACGCTATTGTGTCCCAGATCAGAGTCAGAGTCAAAGAGCACCGGTGAAAGGGTTAAACATGTGAAGGAAGTAATATATACTCTAATAGAATTGCAGCAGAGAGCACTTTTTTGTACCTTACTCTAAAGTGTTTTATTAAGTGGCCAGGGAGGTTACCGTGAAATGTATGACAAAATCCAATACATGTTGTTAAACAATCATATGAACTTCCTGAACTGCTGAAAGAAACTGGATCACCTATAAGTTTTCACCTTCAGTTTTAATGCCATTAAGCTGGTTGTATGCATCCTGTGACAAATGTGACTATTCCTAGAGTATTTGCACTTATTGTTGCATTTATAAAAATCAGATATAAGGAACTGGATGTCTTTATGTACTCTGAAATGACAGATGGGCTTCAACTACTCCTCCTCCCCCCACCAGCTATCAGTCTGCACAATTTGCCATGTAAGCAAAACAAGAAATAGCATCGTTGTTCAGCTGTTAAGGGAATGCCCCTGCCCCTGCCCGAGCCCCAACACAAAATTAATTCAAATTGGGACAGATATCGGCATTCTTTGCTGAAAATAATTTCCCAAACAGTCAAGCACCTCAGCAGCCCTTTCATCTCCAGGAGGGGAATTTTATTTTCTCTTGTTACGTATTTCCTGAAATCAATGGACCAGTTCCTGCTCTGCAATGCAAAGCTCCATAAACCCAACAGATCCAGCCCCTTCAGTATCTTCATTGCATTGTACAGAATTCTTGGGTGGCATTAGAGCTACTTCACCTCTTCTCCCTGGGACTGGTGGAGGGGGTGTAGAAAAGGGAAAGAGGGCTTGGCCAGGTTGTTCCCATGCACCAGCCATCTGTTGCTGCTAGATCCACCCCCAGAGGCTGTTGGCAGCCTGAAAGCTACTCTCTTTTATTCTGGGGACTGGCCCAGTGCAAAATGGCATCAGGATTGGAGGAATTGGCAACGGTGGCTTAAAACTACCTTTGTGGCCCTCTTCCTCAGTTATGGTAAGCAATGCTTTACTGCAGCTGAGGAACTGGGCCATCAAGCTTCATTCCAGCTCAATTTCAAGAGCAGAAATGGTTTTAAAAGGGACCAAGGACCCTTAAGGTAATCAATTCATTTGCTGACATTGAAAACTAAATATGAGGTAGAATCTAAGATCAACTGTCAATGGGATTTAGGCTCCTTATTGCCTAATTTACTTTTGCAAATGGGACTCCTGAGCCTAAGTAATGTGCTATTTTGCAAATGTTACCCATAATGACTGACACCAGCTTCATGTAAAGCTCTCCCTACATCCACCTACTCATCTCCCCAAACTGTGTATCCCAAGAGTAGAGCTGAGCTGTTTGAAGGGCTGTGCACATGGGGTGTTCACGCATACTTGCAGGGCCGGCTCCAGGCACCAGCCCACCAAGCTGGTGCTTGGGGCGGCACCTGGAGGGGGGCGGCACGGCGCTCCGGCCCCCGGGGAGAGCGGGGTCACGGCCGGGCTCGCCGCCCTCCCCCCTGCGCTCTGGCCGCTGGGGGGAGAGCGGGCTCGCCGGGGCTCCGGCCGCCCTCCCCCCGCGCCCTTCCCCCGGCCGCCGGGGGGAGAGCGGGCTCGCCGCCCTGCCCCCGGCGCTCTGGCCGCCGGGTGGAGAGAGGAGCCCCCGCCGGGGCTCGCCACCCTCCTCCCAGGGCTCCGGCCGCCCTCCCCCCCGCCGCCCTCCCCCCGGCCGCCAGGGGGAGAGTGGAGCCCCCACCGGGGCTAGCCGCCCTCCCCCCGGGGCTCCGGCCGCCCTCCCCCCCTCCGCGGGGGGGGGGAGGGGATGGCCGGAGATTTTTTTGCCTGGGGCGGCAAAAAAGCCAGAGCCGGCCCTGCATACTTGTGTGGATCATGTCTTTGGACTCCTGAGCCTTACCACAAAATTCCCCTCTACAAGGTTCCTGTCACAGCGACCTGAAGGGTGACTGCTATGCAGGCTTTTGGGGGAGTCAGATTAGGGCTGGCAAACTTCTGCTTTATGCCACTGCAGGTGTGTGTGGGCTTTATGGCAAGAGTCTGCCAGGCCTGCCAAACTTTGGCCATGAGTTTGAAAGCTGTTGTGCTATTGAAATGGAAAGCTAGAGTTTAATTAGAGCTTCACAGTACAAAGTGAAGTAACTCCTGTTAATATAGCAGAGCTTGCTTTATATATTTATGTTTGTGAGATTGAAAATGTAAAGGGAGCTGGTAGCCTGGTAATGCAGTGGCAGCACAATGGTTCTCACACCTAAGGGACCCGAGATCAAAGTCTAAGCTTTTGTACCAACAGGATGGGAGCACTATGGAGGTATCACACACCTGGGCTCTGGGTGGAGAGTAGACACTCCATATCACATCACTCTCTAACAGCATCCCTGAGGTAGATGGAAAAAGGAGTACCACCAGCTAGTTCTAGGACTAGTCCTCTTCAACCAGCACAAGGATGTGGGCCCCTTGGGGGAAAGTAGATAAAAAGGCATGGATGGGGAAGGGACCATTCCCCAGAAACTGGGAGCATCTGATAGGATCATGGGTGAGGAATGCAATGGATCTTTTGATCATTTTTGGTGATGGTTTTGTGAGTGTGTCTGTATGTGTGTGTTTGTGCAGTGCTGGAGACTACAGCCCTCTGTTTATCCATATGTGAGGTACAGCAGAGGCGGTAACATGGCAGGTTCTTCACACAATCCCAGCAATCTGCCTCAAAACTGACGCTGAAGAGGATAGCTTGATCTCCAGCCTTTGTCACTGGCCTCTCTGCCGACACTGCCAGCAAGAATACTAGACCTGTGCCAAGTGCAGTGGCGACTTTTATGTCAACATTTGACCAGTGAGCTCTGCATTGATACCATCAATTCATTTCACAATTTAATTCATTTTCAGCAGAACTAAGCTGTGATCTGTCCAGCATTTTCCATATTTATTTGGCATTCCTCCTTTAACCTTTTTTCAGAAGAGGAAACAGAAAACAAAAAAGCAAAGCAGTTAACTTTCTTTGCTTTTTAGCATTGTTTACTGTTCTTTGGCTACTTATCACTTTTTCTTATCACACATTCAGTTGTCTTATAGTGGGTCCCACTTCAATCCTATGTTTCTGCTGACCCAACACATAATTGTTCTAAAGATCTGAAAAATGTTTTCCTGCACTTAAAAGAAACAAAGAAAGTCCATTTAGTTTGCAATGACGGTGCTGATAGCAACTAAAAACATACCTAGGCAAGGGTTATAAAAAGTTAGAACACAAGCTAAAATATTATTAATCCTCATGCAAGGTTCAGAACATGCTAAGAGAATGAATGTCCTCCTTTAAACAAAGTCATTGTTATAAAAGATATAGATCCAGAGTTGGAGCCTAATGGTCATTGAAGGCAATGAAATTCTTGACTCCAGGAAGGGACTCCCAAAGTCCTTACTCAGGCAAACCTCCATTTCCTGTGGAATTACTAAAAACTGGGTAAGGACTTCAAGATTTGGCCTAACAGGGAAAAAAATCAATTGCACATGAATAATATGTGTAAAATGTTTGTGTCTAACTTCAGAGTGACACATTATATTAATATATTATTAGCCATGAGAATTTTATCTGCG